ACCTCCGAGGCCGTCGTGATGACCCTCATCGCGAGGGTCGCTGCACGGGATGAGGAGGAGGGGACAGTTTCAGTCGCCAACAAGGAAACGGAGGAGTTCCGGGAGGAACTGAGAGCACTCAGGGTCAAGAGCCTGGAGGAAGAAGCCAGGGCCAAAAAGATCGCGGCCGGTCCAGCACCTGTGCCGCAGATCGCGACCATGACATACGCTCAAGCGGCAGGAGGGACCGACGCTTCGGCAGAGGAGATACGTCCGGGCCCAGCAGGGACTAGAAAGAGGAAGGCCCAGAGGAAGGCGATAATCGAGAGTTCCTCAAGCTCAGCGGAGAAGGCTACGAGGGGGGATCATGTCGATGTGATTCCGTCATACGATGACACCATGCCGCAGGATGCTCCCCCTCCAGCCATGAGACCCCCTATCAAAGGGGTTCAAAAGGAGCTGAAGGACAGTCTGTCCCAGATGAACCTGAAGCCGGAAGGCAAGGCAACGTACAAGGTTCTCTCAAGGGGGATAGACTACTTCCTTCAATGCAGGGAAAAGGTGGTGGCGGACAAGAGATCCTGGATCCCCGATGTAGACGAGATGGTGCGGATACTCCGCCCCCCCTCCGCTCCGACTTCTCCGGTCGAAGAGGCGCTCGCCAATCCGGCCGGGGATGGGAGCGCGGGGATGAGCGAGAAACAAGCGCACAAGAGAAAGAGAACTGATGCGGAAAAGAGGAGGGAGAAGAAGCTGAGGCGGGCAGAGAGGAACAAGCAGAAGCGGCTGAAGCAGGAGCATCAGTTGCTGAGGAAGGAGACACAGAGGCTGACCGTCTAAACACTGGACTAGGAGAAGACCAAGGCGGTCTCCTCCCAAGCCACTAACAGGGCCATGGTCAAGACAGGGAAAGGGGAGGTCAGGAACACGACCGAAAGGAGGTGGTAGCAGGCCCTGGCAGTGGAAAGACCGGAGGGAGAAAGAAGAAGGCGAGCCCATTAGTAGGCCAAGACCCCGGGCCCCTCAAGGTAACCTAGACGATCACCCCCCAGGTACCTGGTGTTCCAGGTCCAACGGCGTGGAGCAAGGTGGTCGGAAGAAAGGAGAAGAGGAAGCAGAGGAGGGAGGAGGAGAAGAAGAAAGTAGGAACAATCCCTCCTAAGCCTGCTCCCGGCCCGAAGAAAGAGGGAGCGACAGCTGCGGCGGTGGTGCCAAGGCCGCCCAGATCGGCGGCCATCACAGTCACCTGCCCAAAGGACTCCTACAAAGAGTTTATGGCTAAAGCCAGGTGCCGGATCAAGCCGGCGGATGTGGGCATACCCGGGGCCCTTAGGATCCGCACGGCCCGCACCGGAGCCCTGATGATCGAGGTGCCTGGCATCAACGCCGGGGCCTCCGCTGACCAGCTTGCCGAGGAGCTCGGTAAGCTGGCAGCGTAGAAGGGCCGTGACTATCGCGTTCAGAGGCCGGTGAAGACTGCGGTGCTGCGGCTCACCGGTCTGGACGCGACGGTCGGGACCGAGGAAGTGGCCGCCGTGACCCTCGGGCGGGTGCCCGTCCGCGGATTTTCGGGGGCGAGCTGCGACTCACCAAGCGGCGGACGGCCACGGCTGTGGTGCGGTGCCCGCTGACGTCAGCCTCCAAGGTCGCCGCAGCAGGGCGAGTCCAGGTGGGCTGGACCCGAGCGAGGGTGACGGCGCTGCCCGCTCACGCGGCGCTTTACTTCCGATGTTTGGAGCAAGGCCATGTGCGCGTGCGGTGTAAGAGCGTCGTCGACCGCAGCGATAACTGCTATCGTTGCGGTACCCCTGGCCATCGCGCCAAACAATACAAGGCGGCCGTGGCGCATTGCCTGATATGTGCGGGAAGCCGGCGACATAACCGGCGGACTTGTCTGCAAGCCCCTCACGGACCGGCAAAGAAGGAGGAGAGGCCAAATTGAGGAAGAGGTAGCATGTATCCAACCCTGGGGGAAGACAGTGAATGTCTCCCCCTCCAACGAAGGACAAAGGAGGGGCCCGGCAGGCCTCCCTACGAATGGCCGGAATGGAGGATAGAGGGGAGGTCGAGTCGGCCTCCCCTCCCACGAGGGTGGAGGAAAGTATGGCGGTGGAGGCAGCTGAGGACAGCATCCTGGACCCCATCACGCTTATGGAGATCCCGGAGGAGGCAAGGCCCCAACGGGAGAAGAGGAAGAGAAGAGCCTTGGAGGCGGCGACCCCAGCGGCTGAACCGGAAGAGAAGACGGCGGTGGAGGATGAGGAGAAGGAGCTGTCCCCCCGGAATGCGATAGAGGAAATGGTGGGGAGGGTAGAGGTCGCAGAGACCTCACCCCCAACGACCGTAAAGGGGGAGTCGGAGGACGCGCCATCCCTGGCTTCCCCGTTAGGTATCCCCCCTCGTACTCCCAAGAGGTGGGGGAGACGCAGGTAGGGATTCCCCAAGTAGTCTCCAAGGAGACACCCGAGGAGGCGCTCGAGCAAGACGCCACCACGGAGACACCCGATTTGGAAGTCATCACCACGGTAGATGTTCCCCCAGAGGAGGCTGAGACGGCGCTGTCGCCGCCTGAGGTCTCCCTGGAGGGATCGGAGGAGGAACGCCCGGAGGAGGCGTGAAGGCGAAGCCTTCACGCTCCTCCGGGTATCCCAAACCAACCTTGGCCACGGCGCCCGGGTCCAAGACCTGTGGGTGCACGGGCTTGCGGAACTGAGCGCCGGGCTGGGGCTGGCCACCGAGCTGCACTTCATCCCGGCCGGTGACTCCAACTGGCTGGGAATCAAGTGCGGCATGGTGGCCGTGGTAGCCAATCCCGCAATGGTTTCCCCCTATAAAATCAGGAAGAGGGGGAGCTCATATGTGGCGGTCGACTGTGGGCCCGTCACTGTGGTGGGGGTCTACCTCCCCCACCACAGGAATAAGGAAGGCCGCGGCAAACTTGCCCGCATTATGAAAGTCCTGGACAAGGTCGGGGCCGTGGTACGGCAGTGCCATCTCCGACCCATAGTCGTAGCCCGGGACTTTACCGCCCACTCGTATGAGTGGGGTTGCAGTCCCCGGCAAAAGGACCCTCGGGGCAAGGCCGTGGCTAATCAGCCCAATCGGGCGGCGTGACTGGCCATGTGTGGGAGCGAGGAGACATAGGGGCGGCGGTCTCCTTCTGCAGGGATGTCATATCCCAGAAGGAGGCCGCGAGTGGGAGCGTCGTCCCAACCCACGCCGTAAGGCGGGGGAGAGGGAGACGCTCCCCAGGAGGAAGTAGCGGGCCCGAGGTGATACCGGCCGTGGAGGGCGACCGCCGGTCAACCGCAGGTCGCCCCCTCGGCCACCTCGGGCCCGACTTCGGACACGCTGGGGAGGGGCGTCGGGAGGGGTGTGAAAACCCCGCCCGCCCTCCCCCGTGCGTCGGTGGAAGTAGGAAAAAGGGCGAGTGAGGCTCTCTGGGAAAGGGCCTCACTCCTTCGCCCCCTCCGGAGTAGGAAACTACTCTAAGGAGGGGCGGAGAGGGAGGGTACGCACGTCCCCTCTTTCCCGGAAGCGGAACCGGAAGGTTTTGGCACGGGTTAAGGTGAGGATTAAGGAGCTGAAGGAGGAACTTAGTGCGGCCAGCGCGGCTGCAAACTGTTCCGCCCCCACTCCCGATATCCAGAGGAGAACGTACGCTGACGTAGTATCGGGCTGCGGCCCCTCGGCAGCCGAAAGGGAAGGGATCCTATCATCCAGTCGCAGGAAGATGAAGCGGAAAATGAGGAAGGTCCCCCATCTGGGAAGACTCCACATCCATGGAAGAAATGGAGGTGGATGGAGGCGGAATTGAGGTATTCAACGACAACCTGTAATTTTTCAGGAGAGAGGAGGCCACAGCCCCGAAGCCTTCGGTCCGCAGACTGGAGGTACGGGCGGGGGGCGCCGGGGGCAGAGAAAAGAATTGGAGGATTCTCTGGCCATCAGTGGACTGGGTGCTGAGGCCAGGGAATTATATCAGCAATGGACAAGGAGACTGCTGGAATGCGTGGAGGAGAGGGAGCTGCATGTCCCGAATAGCAAGGAGCATGCACACCTTACGCAGGAGATGAAGCGCCTCACGGTAATGAGGGAGGGGATCATGAAGGATACGTCAAAGGGTGTGTCCTCGGTGACAGTGGCGCGAGCCGGGGCCCCTGACCCTACCCCGGTCCTGAGGGGAAGCAATAGCCTACCCGATCGGGGGGCGGGGAGGGGAAAGGAGTTGAATTGTCAGCGCCCAGAATCCCGAAGACAAAGATCCAGAAGAAGAATGAGGAAAAGAGGTGGCAGTGGGAGAAGAGGAGACAAGTGGCTGCCATCCGAGGGATGGAGAGTATCGTACCGGACCATGTTAAGCAGGGATCGGGGATCGCTCCCCCCCAGAGAAAGAAATCCTATGCGCAGGTAACTGGAAAAGAGGAGAGGAAGGTGGGGCCCGCAAGAGGACCCACCACCACCAACAGATCCCAGCCGAAGGAGCGACAGGGCGAAGGATGGACCACAGTGTTGAGCCAGAAGGAGAGGGAGAAGAGGAGGAGGGAGGAGAAGAGAGGTATTCTCGCGCCTACTAACTCTCCTCCCCGATTCACCTCGAAGGCGAAGAAAAGGCGTCAGGTCAAGCTGAGGCCGCCAAGAACGACCGCCGACACCCTCACGTGCCCCGACGGCGAATACAGCCATTTCATGGCAGAGGCCAGGTTCCGAATCAAGCCGGCGGACCTTGGGATTCCGGGATTCCTCAAGGTCCGCCGGGCCCACACGGGGGCCTTGCTTGTAGAAGTGCCTGTCATCAACGCCGGGGCATCAGTCGAACGGCTTGCGGAGGAGCTCCGCAAGTTGGCAGCTGAAAAGGGCACGGAGTATCGGGTCCAAAGACCGGTGAGGGCCGCGACGCTGCGGCTCACTGGCCTGGACCTGACGATCGGGGCCCAGGAGGTGGCGGAGGCGGTAGCCCTCGCTGGGGGTGCCTGCCCGCGGAGGTGTCCGTAGGCGGGATCCGTGTACCCCAGCGAGGGATGGCGACGGCTCTGGTGCGGTGTCCGCAGGCGGCGGCCTCCAAGGTCGCCATTATGGAGCGGGTCCAGGTAGGCTGGATCCGCGCCGGGGTGGTGGTGCTGCCCGCTCGCGCGGCCTCATGCTTCAGGTGTCGGGAGTGGGCGATGGTGACCGAGGGCTACAACTTGTCTGATCACAGATACATTGTCTGGACCCTCGGTTCCCGATCCCCTGCGCAGGTGCTGGACCGCCGTCAAAGGGGGGAGAACAGGGGGTCCCCCCCTCAGTTGGGCTCTCAGACAACTCGACTCTTACATGTTCCGGGCGGCCATCCTCGCGGCCGACTGGCATCTGGACGAGATGTCAGGTGAGTGGGACGCCAGCCCCCAGGAGGGGGCTAGGCAATTGGTGGACATCGTGACGTCGGCCTGCGACATCGCGATGCCACGGTCCCACCCCCGTCGGCGCCGGGCCGCCTATTGGTGGACGGCGGCCATCGCAGATTTGCGAGAGGCCGCCGCCCAGGCCAGGCCGGCGTACATCCGGCCCCGGCGGGAAGACGGGAAGGCCGCGAGAGAGGAGTGCACCAAGCGCGAAATGCCCTCAAGGCCACCATAGCCGATGCGAGGGCGGGAGCCTGGGGACAATTAGTGAGCTCCCTGGACGAAGACCCATAGGGGCGCCCCTACAAGCAGACACTCGGGAAGATCCGTCCGTGGGCGCCCCCGCTAACGGAGTCGCTAGATCCCCAGGACCTGGACGAGCTCCTCAACACCCTCTTCTCGAGGGTGGAGGGGGGCCCCCCGAAAAAAACCCCCCCAGAAGATGGGGGTGGACCGAGGACCCGGGGTGTCAGTCCGGAGGAGCTCGCCAGTGCCAGGAAGAGGCTGGGGGCAGGGGTAAAGCCCCCTGCCCCGACAGCATTCCTGGCTGCGCCTGGGCCCTCGCCCTCGGCGATCGGAACATGTCCGAAGCCACGAGGGGTGTGATGAACGGGTGCCTCAGGGACGGGGTTTTCCCCCCAGAGTGGAGGAGGGCCAAATTAGTCCTCCCGAAGGTGAGCAAAACACCCAATGGACCGCCGGCCTACAGGCTAATTTGCCTGCTGGACGAGGCGGGCAAGATGCTGGAGCGCATCATTGCAGAGCGCTTCGTCCAGCATCTGTCCTCAAATGGGCCGGACTTCCACGACAGGCAATACGAGTTCAGACCCGGACGATCGACGCTGCATGTGATCCAGCATGTCCGGGACCTGACCCATGCCGTTATGGAGGAGAGGGGCGGTGTCTTTTTGGCGATATCCTTGGATAACCGGCGCCTTCAACACCCTGCCGTGGCCGGAGATTGCGCGGGCGCTGCAGCACAACCGAGTGCCTGCCTATCTCCGGCGCATCCTCGCGGCCTATTTTGGGGGCAGGGACCTCGTCTATTCGGTTCAGGGCGGAGTCCAGGGCCGGCGGTTGACGGACCGCGGTGTCTCGCAGGGGTCTGTGTTGGGCCCCCTGCTGTGGGACATTGGGTTCGACAGGGCGCTTGCCCCTTCCCCCCGACTGCACGTCATCTGTTACGCAGATGACACTCTAGTGGTAGCCGGGAAGGAGAGCTGAGGGAGGCCCGCTTCAAAGCGGAGGTGGCTCTGGCGACGGTAGTGGGCACTATTAGCGAACTGGGTCTAAAGGTGGCGCCCAACAAGACGGAGGCCGTCTTCTTTCACGACGGTAGCCGTAGGGCGCCAACGCAGACCCGGGTCTTGGTGGACGGAGTCCGCGCCCGCGTCGGGCCCACGATAAAGTATCTGGGCCTGACGCTGGACGGCCGGTGGGACTTCAGGGCCCACTTTAGTGACCTGGCCCCCCGGGTCAGAAAGGCAGGCTGGAACGCGCGCCACCTGTATGTGGGAGTGGTCCTCTCGATCGCCCTCTATAGGGCGCCAATATGGGCGCCCCAGTTGCTGGGTATCGCCCAAGGTAAAAGCCTGATGCATCAAGCGCTGAGGGCGGTGGCTGTGAGGGCGATTCGGGAGTACCGCTCCATAGCATACATGAAGGCAACGACTCTGGTCGGCTCCCCCCTGGTGGAGCTCCTTGCAGAGGAGAGGAGTGTCCTCTACTGGAGAACCAAGCTCTGCGAAAGGGGGGAGGCAACGGCCAGGGAATTAACGGCCCTGAAGTCTCAGGTGGTTGCTCGGACACTGCAGCGGTGGGAGGACGCGATGTCCTCCCCGCGGGAGTTCGGGCGACTAACGACGATGGCCGTCCGCCCCTGCCTGGCGGAATTCACAGGCAGGAGGAGGCGCGGACTCAATTATCATCTGGTGCAGGTAATGACCGGACACGGATGTTTCGGTCATTACCTGCACCGGATTAAGAAAGAGCCCACTACCGGGTACCACCACTGCCCGGAGCCGGATGACGCCGAGCATCACACCTTGTCCGAATGCCCAGCATGAGACAGGGAGCGCGGTGTCCTGGCCCGGGCGGTGGGGTGCAGGGAGAACGATCTGTCGCTCTCGCGCATGGCAAGGGCCATGTGCGGAAGCGAGGAAATATGGGAAGATGCGGTCTCTTGTCGCAGCGTGCTGTCGCGGAAAGAGGCTGCCGATTGGGAATGTCGCCCTGTAGACCGCCGCAAGCAGCGGCGGGGAGGGCAACGCTCCCCGGGGTTAAGCAGCAGCGGGCCCGAGGGGGCGCCGGCCGAGAAGGAGGATAGGCCTCCTCCGGTCCGTTGGAGGCCACCTCCTCGGCCGCCTTGGGCCCGACTTCGGACGCGCGGTGGGAGGGTAGTGACGGGTGTGTCAACCCACCTGCCTCCCCCCTACGCGTCGGATAGGATAGGTTAAGGGGGAGTGGAAGCCCAGTTTGGGGCTGCGCTCCACTCCCCCCGCGCCACCCATCCCGCGCCCTCCTACGGGGAGCAAGGGGAGCAAGGGGGCGTGGAAGGAGGGTGGGTGTCCCCTCCCTCTAAGTAGTATTCACCAGAAGGCCAACTTGGTCGGAAAACCGACCGCGGGACCGCGCCCTGGACTCCTTTGTGGAACAGGGCGCGGTGTTCGATGGCGTGGGGTTCCCGGAGAGTCCTGCGGCCGGGATGTCGGAGACGGAATACGGGGGTAGTTCCCCTGGCTCCCCACATCACGGGCCGAATAGTAGACATCCCGCAAGGGTTTTAGTCAGCAAGAGTCTAACATAACCCCCGACCCCACCAAAAGGTCGGGGGTATCCATAATGGATTTCCCCTGCGTTACCAAAAAAAAGGGCCAACGTGGTTCCCTCGGCCGCCTCGGACCCGTCTCCATCGGAGGGGGGAGTAGGGATTGAATCCCCGTTCCTCCCTAGCCGTCGGACAGATAGGGAAAGGGGGAGTGGTGACCAAGTTGGGGCTGGGCCTACTCCCCGAGAATCCACCTCGATTAGGCGAGGGGGGATACGGAAAAGGGGCGGATTCTCCCCTCCTCCATTTAGGTGAAAACCAGGAAACTGGCCGGTTGGCCTTCTGGTTGGCACCATGCCCCCCACTAATTTCCCTCGGTTAGAGGAAGTGGGGTGCGGTACAGAGATGAGGGGCTTCCGAAGAGCCCTGGGGCTGGGGTGTTGGGGAGGGAATGCGGGAGCATTTCCCGTAACTCCCCTCACAACGGTCCGACAGGTAGGCATCCCGCGGTGGTTTTAGTCGGTAAGTTACCGACATAACCCCCGACCCCCCCAAGGGTCGGGGGTATCCATGATGGATTTCCCTTGCGTAAACAAAAAAAAGAAGGGCCAACGTGGTCCTCCTCCGAAAAGAGGGCAAGCCGGAGGACACCCCCTCCGCGTACCTCCCCATATGTCTCCTCGACGAGGCGGGCAAAGTTTTTGAGAGGATCATAGCTGCCCGCCTCATGGAGCATATGGCCCGGGTAGGTCCGAGCCTCGATGATGGCCAATGTGGCTTCCGAGAGGGTAGCTCTCATGATAGATGCGTTTTCGCATCTTAGAACCCTCTCGGGAGCCATAAGAGGGAGGGTTGGGTGGCGGTAGCAATATCCATCGACATAACCAACGCTTTCAACACTCTGCTCTGGGGTAGCGTCATGAGAAAATGACGGACTACGAGGATTGCCTTTTATATTTCGGGAATAGAGAACAAAAAAGGAAATTAATCATCGTACATGGGTTTATTGTTTTTCAAAATATTCTTCATGAAGATCAATACACTTTTGCATGCGCTTGAACCAATTTTCGAAGCACTTTTTCCACTCCGATTGAGATATCTCCAAAACATGCATTTTGAACGCATCAACCGCTTCTTCAGGCGTCGAAAAACGTTGACCTCGTAATTTATTTTTGATTTGCAGGAATAAAAAGAAGTCATTGTGTGCCAAATCAGGGTTGTACGGCGCATGACCCATCAATTCGACTTTTTCAGTTCTCAAAAAGTCTCTTGTTTGAGCCGATGTGTGAGAGCTCGCATTGTCCTGGTGGAGAATGATGCGTTTTCGGTGGTTGGTTTCCCTTATTTTTCCGAATATTTCTGACAAACAAATGGTTGTGTACCATTCAGAATTTACCGTCCGACATTGCACTAATGGTACAGTTGCACATGTCTGGTTTTTTCGAAAAAACAGGTGACCATTTTCTTCGAAGTGCTTCGTGCGCGAACAACTTTTGTTGGATTTGGCTCATCAAAGACCCATACAGTCAACTGCTGTTTACTTTCGGGCTCATACGCATAGATCCATGATTCGTCACCTGTTACGATATCATAGACGTGTTTTGAAGCACCGCATCGTATTTCTTGAGCATTTCTTTCGACCAATCGACACGAGCCTTTTTTGAGCGATTGTTAAATTATGTGGGATCCAACGCGAACAAATTTTTTTGACAGCCAAATGTTCATGCAATATTGAATATATGCTGGTCCCACTAATGCCCAAGGATGCCTCAATCTCACGATAAGTCACATGACGATCTTGCAATATCAGTTCACGCACAGCACCAATGTTTTCTGGAACAACAACCGATTTTGGACGACCTTCACGAAATTCATCACTAAGCGAACTACGGCCAAGATTGAATTCCGTATACCATCGATATATAGTGGTTTTTGATGGTGCTTCATCGCCAAAAGTCGAATTAAGTTCATCGATGCACTGTTGTTAAGATAATCCACGTCGAAAGTTGTAAAAAATAATCGCACGGAAATGTTCACGACTTAATTCCATTTCTTGGCCGACATCAATTTTTCATGTCATTGTAAACAACACAAATGGCGCATGGACATCAAAACGTTCTGAGTAAGTATATTGACAAAAAGTCGAACTTTACGTTAGGGACGTCGGTTGTCAGATGGCAGCATCTGGATCGTCCATTCCCGAAATATAAAAGGCAATCCTCGTATTCCCATTTCCCACGCTACCTCGTGGCCGTCATTGAGGACTATTTCCGGGGTCGGCGTCTCATTTGGACAGACGCCGATGGCGGGACGTGCGAGAGGGGAATGAGTTATGGGGTTCCACAGGGGTCCGTGCTAAGCCCACTCCTGTGGAACCTCGGCTACGGTAAAGTTCTCCAGGTAGCCCCCCTCCCGGCTGCAGTATCATTTGCTATGCAGATGATACCTTAATACTGGCCTGGGGGAGAGACTAGGGGCATGCGAGACTGGGCGGTCCGAACTGCGAACTTCGCGTTGCACTGCGTCGTGCGTGCCATCCATGAGGTGGGCCTGACTGTGGCTGAGAGAAAAACGAAAGCTATTTTCTTCCACCCAAAAGGCATGAAGCCACCTCAGACCCACCTACGGATTGGCAGGATCAGGGTTCCGGTCGAGGCCCAAATGAGATATTTGGGCCTCATTATGGACGGCACCCGGTGCTTCAAGGAGCACTTCAGCCGTCTGGTCCCCCGATTAAAGGTCATATTAGCTAACTTGGGCAAATTAATGCCCAATATCGGGAGGTCGGCCATGAAGGCGCGTCGCCTCCACGCAGGGAATATTAATTCAGTCGCTTTGTACGGTGTGCCCATTTGGGCGGAGACCCCGGCCGCCAGCCGTCCGCTATGCGCGGTAATGCGCAGAGCGCAAAGGACGATGACGGTACGTGAGGATCTGATAAGGAAGGGAAGGACTCCAATGACGGAGACTCCATGACTTTGTCGGAGGACGAGGAGGAGTCGGGTGCCGTCGGAGGAGAGAGGGAGGAGTTGGAATATCCCCCCTACTCTGTAAAAAGATGGGGTGAGTGGAAAGGAAGCAAATGGAGGAATGGGGAAGAAATTGAAGCCTCGATAACCTCCAGAAGGGTAAGCTCCGGGAGATGTTCGATTCCATCCTCCAGTATGTGCAGGAGCTCGTCGTAGCCGCTGCCGCACTGGAGGACAGGCAGGAAAAGACAGAGGAAGCTATTGATTAGCGAAACGTACAGGAAGGATCTGTGCGAATATATGAAGGAGTTGTCCGTGCAGATCAAAGCACTAAAAGAGAAGAAGAACAAAAGGGAGGCGGATTTCGAGAGAGAGAGAATGGAATGGAGGGAGCTCCTGGAACAGGAAAGGAACGGGACGGAAGAGAGGATGCAGATATTTCAACAGAACCTGGTCCAACTAGATGCTCTGCTGAAGCTGCGAGGGGAAGGGGGATTAGGGGAAAGGGGGGAGGCGTCGACGCAGACAGAAGAATCCGTGACGACTCCACCCACCCCAGTGGATATAGAGGGAGAGGAAAGAACAAGAGAGGATAGTGGGTCTCAAACCAGGATGGATGATAGGACGGATAAATGGGTCCAGACGGGTAGGAAAATAGGAAGGGATAAGGGGACACAAACGGAGGTCTTGGCGTGTCAGTCGGGTGGGGTTTCGTCGGTTAACGGCCCTTCGCGAAAGGGGACGTCGTCCCTCCCCCAACAGGACAACCGGGAAGGAAAGTCGGGAGAGACAGGACACAGTGACGTGGGCCACTGTGTGTAGGAAGAAAAGGAGAAGGGGAGGTGAGGATGGGGAGGATGGTCGGGAGGGGTTTCCGCAACCCCGCTCACGGCTTCTGCCCAATTATATTTCGTAGAGAAAGGGCGTGGGATATTGGGGCAGGGGGCCACGGTGTCGGCACGGGTTACCGTGCAACGACCCTTCGGACCCCCAGTTCCAGTAGGAAGGGAAAAATGGCCCCGGCTGCCACCGACAGCCGTAGTGACCATTCGCCCTGCCTCGGGGTCTTCCTATGCGAAGACCCTGAGGCGGGCAATGAAGGAAATACCCCTGGAGGATCTGGGGATTCCCGGGGCGGAGGTGGGGAGGACGATGGCAGGGGACCTGGTAGTCCGGGTCAAGGACCCAGGTCCCGGCGGTGAGAAGCCGGCCGCTTGGCGGCCCGCCTTAGAGAGGTCCTGCCGGAGGCGGCAGTATACCGCCCGGTGCTATGGGGGGCGGTCCATCTCGGGGGGGTTAATGAGGCGGCGACCTCCGAGGTCAAGGAGTCCCTGGCCCGCAATGCAGGCTGCGGGCCAGAGGAGATTACCCTCGGGCCCCTCAGATGGGGGATAAGAGGACGAGGGGCAGTATGGGCCCGGTCACCCCTGGCGGCTGCGGTTGCGGCTGCCAGGGGAAGTGGCTTTGCACTGGGGTGGTCGAGCGTCAGCGTCACCCTGCTGGCGGCTCGGCCATCCCAGTGTTTCCGGTGCTGGGGCCTCGGCCACATCCCAGCCAGGTGCACGGCCGCTGTGGATCGCAGCGGTCTGTGCTATCGGTCTGGCCGGGGCAGGCAAACGGCGCGGACGTGCCTCGCACGTCCAGAATGCGCCGTGTGCCGTGAGATGGGGAGGGACGCGGGCCACAGAATGGCGGGGCCATCATGTTAGCTCGCGTCCCCACTCCAAAGTGTGGGCGGAAGACGCTCGGGGGAGCGTCGTCGCGGCCGCCCTCCCAACGGGGGACCGTTGGGACCCACCGTCATCGTAGTGGCGACGACGGCGAAGGCGGGCGTGTTTTCTCGGCCGGTGGAGGGTAGGAAACCCGCCGAGGTGGTGTCGGCGGGCGATGTGTCGATGCGGGGGGTCGCCGGTGGTCCTGGGTTGCGGGGCAGTGGAGACTGGTCCGTCTGATGTCGAGGGGGACCTACCCTCGTTGCCGCAGCGGGACCGGGGCGCGCTGCGCGACCCGGGGACAAGGGTTCCCGCCTGCTCCGGTCAGTTGATCGGAACCAGGGTTCCCTCCCCCTCTCAGTTAAATGCCCGGGAGTAGCGCATAATGAGAGGTGGAGGAATGGGAGCCGTGACCTGGATGAGGGCCCGGGTCACGGCTCCCAACCCCACCTCGATCAGAGGTGGGGTTGGGAGCCGTGACCCCCCACGCTGCGGGGAGGGAGGGGGCGGATGTCCCCCCTCCCTCCCCGCAGCACGGCCGGTTAGGGGTCAGGCATCTCCCCCTCCACGTATCGGGAGGAGAGAAACAATGCCTGGCTCCGGTAACCCCGCGCGCCCTCTAATAGGACGGCGCTCCCTGGCCCAGGTACGGTGGTTGAGCAGCATGGTCCTTTGGGCCCTTTGCATAATGCTCCCCCTACTTGGCAACTGGGGTGGGAATGTGGTGCAGCGGTGCTGGTAGTCGCACTAGGCGGCACGCTCATTCTACGTGCGTGTCTAGCCGCCAGCGGCTCCCCTCACCACAGCCCCCTACAAGTCCTGTGGCGCGCGGGGCCCAAGGCGGGCGAGGGCCTCACTGCAGTAGGGCCAAAAGGGGTGGCGGTTTAGAGAAGGGAATAGGGGACTAGTTCTTCCAGCCGCCACTCGCTACCCCTGAAGGCAGGCACCCCCTGGTGTTTTAGTCGGTGCGAGTCCGACATAACCCGCGGGCCCCCCCCAAGGGTCCGTAAGTACGCATAAGGGGTTTCACCAAGATCATTAAAAAAAAAGGACGGTAGCCATCAAGGTCATTAGGGCGTACCGTACGATATCCCACGTGGCGGCAACGGCCCTGGCGGTAATGCCCCCTTTGGAGCTCCTTGCATTAATGTACAGAAGCATGTACAGGAAGAGAAAGGAGCTCCAGGGGAATCTGAGGGCTCGTGAATCGATGGCCGTGGCGCTGAGACGCTGAAAGCACCAGGATCGATAGCTCCTTCTCCAACGCTGGAAGAGGCGTTTACTTAACACCATATATTGGAGAAGGAGTGTCGAGGTCGTCCAGCCCTACCTGACTGAGTGGATGGGCAGGGAGTCAGGAACCCTGACATTTAGAGCGACACAGGTTCTCACCGGGCATGGCTGCTTCGGTGAGTACCTGAGTCGCATAGGAAAGGAACGCACGACGCAGTGTCATCATTGCGAAGATGACTACGATCCCGAGCAACACCCTCCAGGACTGCCCGGCATTGGCAGCAGAGCGCGGGATCGTAGTCAGAGAGCTGGGTACTGATCTCTCGCTCCCCAGTGGCGTCAACACGATGCTGGAGAGCGAGAAAAAGTGGGACACGTTCACCGATTTTTATGAAACAGTGATGTCGAAAAAGGAAGAGGCAGAGGAGCTCCGCCGACAGGCAGAAGGAAGAGGGATGACGCAGAGGAGGCGACAGTATCGTCAAGCCGAGCGCCGCTCCCCCAGTAGAGAGGGAGGCATTGACTACTCCGAGGAAGAGGCGCTTAGGGGTATGGTATACTCCCCCTCTTCCACCCCTCCCCTACCCCCTCCTTTGTTCCCTCCCATTTCTCCTCACCTCGCCCATCGCCCCCTCCCTACCCTATCCCCTACCACCACCCCAAAGGAGGGCCCTCCCCACCCGAGTGATGCCCCCGAGAAGGGCAAATCAAGGGAGAGAAGGGACCCTACCAGTAAGGGCGGCGGTGGCGGGTACCATGACGCAGCCCACTATCATGCAAATGACGGGAGATCAAAGACCGAGGTCCAGTCAGTCGCACCCCGGTCGCCCGCCAATCCCCAAAATAGGGAATGGATGAGGGCGTGGGGGGAGTGAGATGACAGTATTACTGTCTAATCACTTTTCCCCCCCTCGCCTCCCTTGATCCACATCTCACAAGTGTGGGTAGGAAGGGAGAGGTTAGACCCTTCCCTGCCTTTTATAGGCATAGGTGTGCCCGGCGACTAGGGAATTTAATTATTCCCCCCGTAACCGCCGGGCAGGAGGGTGGGGCATCGGGCGGTGATTATCGATCAACCAGTCGCGCAACACTTAGGCGGCGCCCCACCTGACTGGAAATGGCGGTAGAAGCACAGGTGTTTTTAACCGACTTCCCCTTTCCCATCCATAGAGGTGGGGCGTGATGGGTGCAAGGGAGAATGGTGATAGAATGTAGATAGACAGAGCCTCGGCTCACTTTCCCCCTCCTCTGGGAAGCGGTGGTCGAAGAGGAGCCTAGGCTCGCTTCCCCGCTCCCCGGTACTTCTCGGGGAAGACGACGGATTGCCGTCAGGACTCGGGGCCCCGATTGCAGTTATGCGGCTCCGGGGCGCCGAGAATAGTCCCATCGCAGCGCCACCCGGGGAGGTTTCAGCCGGTAGGAGTCCAGCATAACCCCCCACCCTTCCCAGAGAGTGGGGAGTATCCATGATGGATTTCCTCCTCGTTACAAGAAAAGAAGGTTAATAAAAATACCCCCTGCCTCCCTCGAACGACTTTCCACAACAGGGCTTCAGTCGAAGCAAAGCAGGGACTGAGGCTACCCCAGTTCCTGCGCAGAAGACATGGAACAGAGTGGTGGGAAGAAAGGAGAAAAGGGGGGAAACAAAAGAGGCCGAAAAAGGAAATGCGCGACAGGCCCTGAGACAAACCAACAACAACATTGGAAATAAAAAAGGAAAAGGAGGGGAAAAAGGAGGGTGCCAAACACAGCGGCGATAACAATTAGTGCCGCCGCTGGAGAATATGAGGACCTCCTTAAAGAAGCAAAGGTGAAAATAAATATCAGGGAGCTTGGTATAAACAAGATCAACTCCAGGCAAGGGATTACCGGCTCCCTGATGTTGGAAATAGCAAGGAAAAATAAGAATACCCAAGCCGATCAACTGGCAATAAAGTTAAGGGAGATCCTCAAAGAGAAGGCAAGGATAGGGGATCCCCAGAAGATGGGAGAGCTTAGGCTGAGAGGCCTAGATATAGCCACATCAGAGGAAGAGGCGGTGGAAGCCATCAGTAAGGAGGGC